GGGCCGGTTTTTCCTCTGCCCTTCGCGCTTTCATAAAGTGACAGGAAGCTTTCTGCCACAAGAAGCGGCTGGTATTGTGTTGTTTTTCCTCCGCTTGTGCCGGTTGGCTGATTCAAACTGCATCTCAGCCCTTCAGAGAGCCCGCTGTGAGAACTTTCACCGAACCCATTGACACTTAAAATTACAATAAAGTAATATAAGCTGATATATTGAATAATAGTGGACGGAGTGGTCACCCTTGTCTCGCTTCCGATCATTGAGGAACTCCTGTGTGTTTAAAGAGAACTTTATTATGACAGTGAGTTTTGACTTGAAAATCATTCCGTGAAGTGGAAGTGAAAGTGGCTCAGACGTGTCTGATTCTTTAAGACCCCTTGGACTGTAGCCTTCCAGGCTCCTCTGCCCATGGGATTCTCCAGGCAAGAATAATGGAGTGGGTTGCCATTTCCTTCTCCAGAGGATCTTCCCAACCCAGCGATTGAACCTGGCTATCCTGCACTGCAGGCTGACTCCTTACCATCTGAGCCACCTACAGTAATAACATGACACGGACAAGTGCCAACCTAAGATCCTGCTGGGTAATTGATGCTGGACACCACCCAAGAAGCAGATGCCGTTACTGCCCTCATTTTATGCCTTTGGGACCTGTGGCACACAGAGGGAGAGTCAGCTCTCCAGGTTCTCAGGGTTCCTCAGAGAGTGTCCCTATGTTCAGGTCTCAAGTCTGTCAGACTGTAGTTTGCACACTGGCTTGCAGGATACACTCCCCTCCCCGGTGGAAGAGTGAAATAAAATGCTCACTGGGATTGAGGGTAAAACAGCCTGCAATGCTGCGAAAGATTGACGGCAGGAGGAGAAGGGGATGCCAGAGGACAAGATGGTTGGATGGCATCACTGACTCAATGGACATGAGTTTGAGCAAGCTCCGGCAGATGGTGAAGGACAGGGAAGCCTCCTGACGTGCTGCATGCAGTCCATGGGGTCACAAAGAGTCGGGCACGACCGACGGCCTGAAAAACAACCATAACATATTTATTATAATGAGATACTAAATGAAAGGGGGCGGGAAGGGAAACTGCATAGAAAACGACTCATCCACTCTATCAAGATTATGACATGATAACACATTTAGAATGCAAAGCACCTGGAAGTAATCAGCTGTTAAGGAGTACAAGTTGCTCAGCTCACTGCAAGGTGGGTCAGGAAGGGACTTCAATCCAGAGTCGACTGACAGAGAAGAGGGCAGGGTAGTGACACAAAATAACCATCTTGTTGGGGCCAGGTTGGACAAGACCGGGACATCACGGATCAGGTCCCTCAGTGGAGAGTTCCAAACAGTTTCGGGGAGAAATCTGCCAGCGGACGCAGGCTGGGAGACTGGCACTGACCTCACTGCTCCCCGGGGCAGGCCCAGAACCAGCCCTCAGCAACTCCAGAGCTTCCTGGACGCCCTGACTTCTTGCCCGCCTCGCTGTGGTTCTGTGGGCGGGTCGAGCGGAACTCGCGCGGTCCAGGGGTGGTTTGCCCGGGCCCCTTCCAGAGGTTCCCTTTCTTTCTCTGGTCCTCAGGGGCATCCCCCAGAAGTTTCCCAACTACGTTGGCCAGTCCTCTGCCCGAAAACCGCGCAGGAAGGATCGATGTTCTTCCGGGCTTGCTGGCATTTTGGTTTCTGTGGTCTGCAGGGGGCAGTGTTGCTCCGCGGAGCCGCTTGCCCGTTTCTCCCCCGCCCTTCGGGGTTGAAAAAAGCCTGTAATAAGCGACGGATTATTATTATTTTTTTTTTTCCTGCGCTTGCGCCCGTTGGCTGCTTGGAGGTGCTGAGGAAAATGCTCAGATACATATTAAGCAAACTGAAAAAGTAACAACAAAGAGAAAATATTAAGCGGGTCAAGGGAAAAGTAGCAAATAACAGAAGAGGGCATCCCCAGAAGATTATCAGCTGATTTCTCAGCAGAGACTCTGCAGGCCAGAAGGGAGTGGCATGATATATTTAAAGTGGAGAAAAGGAAAAACCTACAGCCAAAAATACTCTACGAAGCAAGGCGCTTCTTTCAGATTCAACAGAGCAATCAAAAGACAAGCAAAGGCTCAGAGAATTCAACAGGACCCCACCAGCTTTACAGCAAAGACTAATGTAATAGCTGTAGGCAGAAACAAAATGCCATGACTAAAGTCAAGAGAATTATGAATGGGAAAGCTCACCAGTAAAGACAAACACACAGTAAACATGGAAACTCATCCACACACAAATATGATATCAAAACCAGCAGTTATGAGAGGATGGGAGTACAAATGCAGGATATTGAAAATGCATTTGAAATTAAGAGACCAGTAAAGTTAAACAAGTATATATACATGTATATATATACTCTTTTACTCAGGCATGTCTGACTCTTTGCAACTCCATGGACTCTCCAGGCTCCTCTGTCCATGGAACTTTTCCAAACAATAATACTGGAGTGGTTTCCACTTCCTCCTCCAGGGAATCTTCCCAACCCAGGAATCAAACCAAAATCTTCTGCATCTCCTGCATTGGCAGAGGGATTCTTTAGCACTGAACCACCTTGGAGACACACACACACACACACACACACACGTCTATGTGGTGTGTGTATAGACAGCTAGAACAAAAAAAATCATGATAACCAAACATCTACAATAGATGTAGACACAAAAAGAAAAAAGGGATCCATTCACAACACTAAAGATAGTCATCAAGTCACAAAAGGAAGTTTAGAACAAACACCTTTGAAACAAACCCAAAACAATTTTTAAAATGGCAATAAGGACACACATGTCAGTAATTAACTTAAATGTAAATGGATGAAATGCTGCATCCGAAAAAAAAAAAGATAACAATTTTTTAAAAAATGAAGACCCATGTATAATACTGCCTGGGCTTCCCTGGTAGCTCAGCTGGTAAAGGATCTGCCTACAATGCATGAGACCCCAGTTTGATTTCTGCATTGGGAAGAGCCCCTGGAGACGGGATAGGCTACCCATTACGGTATTCTTGGGCTTCCCTGGCGGCTCAGTCTGTGAAGAATCTGCCTGCAATGCAGGAGACCTGGATTCGATCCCTGGGTTGGGAAGATGACCTGGAAGAGGGCGTGGCAAGCCACTTCAGTATTCTTACCTGGAGAACCCCCATAGACAGAGGAGCCTGGTGGGGCGCAGTCAATGGGGTCGCAAAGAGGCAGACACGACTGAGTGACAAAGCACAGCCCAGCACACATAATACTGTCTACAAGAGACCCACTTTCAAATCCAGGTACACATACAGACTGAAAGTGAAGGGATGGAAAAAGATACTCAATGCAAATGGAAATCCAAAGAAACCTGGAGTAGCGATACTCACATCAGACAAAATAGACTTTAAAGACTGTTGCAAGATTCAAGGACACCACATAATGATCAATGGATCATTCCAAGAAGAAGACACAACAATTGTAAGTAAATATGCACCCAACATAGCAGCACCTCAATATGTAAACAGCCATAAAAGGAGAAAACATCAGCAACACAATAATAGTGGGGGACTTTAGCACTCCACTCGCATCCACAAAGAGCTCATCCAGACAGAAAATCAAGAAGGAAGCACAGCCCCAAAATGACACATTACACCAGATGTACTTAGTTGCTATTTCTAGGCCATTCCATCCAAAAGCAGCAGAATACACTTTCTTCTCATGTGCACATAGAACATTCTTTATAGATCTTATCTTGAGTCACATATCAAGCCACATAAATTTAAGAAAACGGAAATCATGTCAAGAGTCTTTTCTGATCACAATGCTGTGGGCTTAGAAATAAACTATAAGAAAAAACTGCAGAAAAAAATACAAACACAGGGAGGACAAACAATGTGCTCCATAGTGTATGTACCAATTTACATTGCCACCAACAGTGCAAGAGGATTCCCTTTCTCCACATCCTCTTCGGCATTTATGTTTTGTAGATTTGTTGATGGTGGCCATTCTGACAAGACTGTACTCGTTGTACTTTTGAATTGCATTTCACTAATAAACAGCAATGTTGCACATCTTTTCATGTATTTGTTGGCCATCTGTATGTCTTCTTTGGAAAAATGTCTGTTTTAGGTCTTCTGCCCATTTCTTGATTGGGTTGTTTATATTTCTGATATTGAGCTGCATGAAATGCTTGTATATCTTTAAGATTAATTCTTTTTCAGTTGCTTCATTTGAATTTGTTTTCTGCCATTCTGAGGGTTCTCTTTTCACCTTGTTTACAGTTTCCTTTGCTGTGTAAAAGTCAGACTCGACTAAGCAACTGAACTGAACTGAACTTGCTGCATAAAATACTGTAAGTATAATGAGGCCCCATTTCTTTATTTTTTATTTTATTTCCATTAATCAAAAGAGGACATTGCTAAAATCTTTGTTAGTGTGTTCTGGCGATGTTTTCCTCTAAGAGTTTTATAGTATCTGGTCTTACATTTGGTCTTTAATTCATTTTGAGGTTTTTTTTTTCCCCCCTGTGGTGTTAGTAAGTGTTCTAATTTCATTCTCTTACATGTTACTCTCTAATTTTCACAGTACCACTTATTGAAGATGGTGTCTTTTCTGCATTGTATATTCTTACCTCCTTGGGTATAGATGAGGTGCCCCATAGGTGCATGGATCTACCTCTGGGCTTCCTATTGTGTTCCATTGGTCTTTCTTTTTGTTTCTGCCTAGAGCTGTTACATTAGTGTTTATTGTAAAGCTGGTGGGGTCCTGTTGAATTCTCTGAGCCCTTGCTTGTCTTTTGATTCCTCTGTTGAACCTGAAAGAAGCGCCTTGCTTGGTCGAGTATTTTTGGCGGTAGGTTTTTCCCTTTCTCCACTTTAAATAGATCATGCCACTCCCTTCTGGCCTGCAGAGTCTCTGCTGAGAAATCAGCTGATAATCTTCTGGGGATGCCCGCTTCTGTTATTTGCTACTTTTCCCTTGACCCGCTTAATATTTTCTCTTTGTTGTTACTTTTTCAGTTTGCTTAATATGTATCTGAGCATTTTCCTCGGCGCCTGCAAGCAGCCAACCGGCGCAAGCGCAGGAAAAAAAAAAAAAAAAAAATCCGTCGCTTATTACAGGCTTTTTTCAACCCCGAAGGGCGGGGGAGAAACGGGCAAGCGGCTCCGCGGAGCAACACTGCCCCCTGCAGACCACAGAAACCAAAATGCCAGCAAGCCCGGAAGAACATCGATCCTTCCTGCGCGGTTTTCGGGCAGAGGACTGGCCAATGTAGTTGGGAAACTTCTGGGGGATGCCCCTGAGGACCTGACGTGCACAGTGACTGTTTCTGGAGGGAGCATCTAGCACGTGTGGAAGAGGCCAGACCCAGAACGTGGAAGGAGCAGGGGCACTCCTCGTTGTTACAAAAGCAATGGCATGTCTTTTCCCACATGTCTCACTGGGGACATCTGCATTACCTTCCTAAACTGCTTTACTGAGGTATAGTTACATACCACAGATCACACCCATCACTTCCAGGGCAGTGACTTTTAGTACCTTCAGACAGTGGTGCAACCACCTCCACAGTGCAGTTGTGGAACACTGCCAGCCCCACAAAAAGGTTCCATATACCCATCAGCAGTTGATCCCCAACAGGACCTGCAGGTCCAGGCATCCTCTCATCTCATTTCCGTCTCTGTAGATTTGCCCTTTCTGGGCATTTCATATCAACGGACTCCTGCAGGAAGTGGCCTTTTGTGTCTGGGATGTTTCACTTAGCGTAATGCTTTGCAGGCTCACCCACGTGGCAGCAGAAAGCAGAAGTTCATCACTTTTCATGCATCTATGCTACTCCACCGTATGGCCACATACAGAATACTTTGTTTACCACCCTCCAGCTGACAGACTTTTTAGGCTGCTCCACTATTTGGAGATTACAAACAGTGCTTCTGTGAAAGACCTGTAAGGACCAGTATTTGTGTGGACAGAGGTTTCGCTCCTCATTTCCCAATGATGTCATTTCTCCTTTTGCACGGTGCACAGGCTAGACCCTTCCGGCAGTGCGGAAGAGAGGCGGTTGAAGCAGACCTCCTGTCCTTGGTCTGGATCTCAAGCGGCAAGCATTCACTCAGACACTACGAGATGTGACGTGACGAGAGCAGGATGGTTCTCGGGGATGTCCCTCAGCACCACGACGACGATCCCCTCTATCCCGAGACGGCTGACCGTGTTTATTGATTTAGTTATTTACTTATTTGTCATGAACGGGTCTTGCACTGTGTCAAATGCTTTTTCTTTGTCTGTCAAGATGACAGGTGGTTTCCGTCCTTCCTTATATCCATACGCTGTTTCCCATAACTGAAGTTGAGTGTTGGTCCAATACTGCAATCCTGGGAAAAATCTCGCACAGCCCTTTGCAAAATGTTTCTCGATTTGGTTTGCGGATACTGTGTTGAGGGTGTATGCATCGCTATTCATGGTAGATATGGGTCTGTAGCTTTCTGGTGATGTCAAGTCTGGCTTTGGTACTGGGCTAATACTGAGCTTATAGGATGGATTAGGAAATGTTCCCTCCTCCCTCCTGTCTCTTCAGGAAGAATCTGTGAAGGATGGGTGCTATTTCTTCTTGAAACATTTGATAGATTTCACTGATGAAACCAGGAGGCCCAGGACTTCCCTTTGTGGGAAGGTGTTTGAATGAATGGTTCAATATCATTGTTTGCCACAGGTACATTCAGATTTGTTATTTGGCCACTGCATTTAAGCCAACTCCCATCCAGTACTCTCTGGCCTGTTGGTTCCTATGGCTCGGTCTCTGGTCTAGGATTTGACGTGCGGGACATCTCTGCACATCACAGGATTCTGGCTCCTACTCTGTAACTGGGGAGAGTATGCTGTCTCAGAAGTGACCCCCAGACCACCAACACCCAATAGGCAGGTTGGGGACACAGACGTTGAGGTGGGGAGGGGGTGGCACTGCTGATATCCTCATTTACAGCCGCCCATCCATCCTCCGGGTGCCCTCTTGCAGTCTGTGGGTAATTCTGCAGTTGGGACTGGCACAGCAAGGACCCAGAGTGCCCTGTCTCCCCCCCTGCCATGTCCACTTCATCTACCCTGATCCTCGTCACTCCTCTCATCTCCTAGCAACGCAGCCTCACAGGGGATCCGTGACGCACTCGCCACCACATCCAAAGGTGTCAGATCTCCTCTCTGCTTAATGACTCAACTCTCAAGGGCAGGGACTGGCCATGCGATTCCTCCTCACCTCCCCCTCTCCACAGCCAGCCTGGCACGGGGCATGGAGGGGATGTAACATCAACAGTGAAAACCTTCGTGATTGGCTAATTGAGGGACTGTGGATGGCAGGATCGACCTGGGTTGGCTGCTGGAGTGAGCCCATCGCCTCCCGCCCTGGGGAACTTGTGCCAGGTGGGGATGACCATCCCTGCCCCAGTGCATTGTGGCTAGCATCAATGACGTACCTAATCCAGACTTGGGGTGCCAGCAGCTGTGGACGGGCACTGAAGTCGCCGGGTCTTCTCACTTCACCCCAGCCTTTACGGAGGGTACGGTTGGGGATGCTCTGTCAGAAATCAACCTGCGCTCATATGGCCTTTTAGTCTATGACAAAGGAGCCAAGAACATCCACCATGGAAAATGCTGTCTCTTCAATAAATGGTTATGGGAAAACTGGACCCCTTTCTTACACAACATTCAAAACTCAACAACAACAACAGAAGATTAAAGACGAAATTGTTAGACCTTAAACCATAAAGCTCCTAGAAGAAGACGTAGCCAGGACGCTCTTTGACATAGGTCTTAGCAATAGTTTTTTTGACATGTCTCCTCAGGCAAGAGCAACAAAAGCAAAAATAAACAAATGGGAGGTCATCAAACTGAAAAGCTTTTACAGAGCAAGGGAAACCATCAACAAAAGAAAAAGGCAACCTGCTGAGTGGGAGAAGATATGAGCGAGTGAAACACATCCAAAAAGAGATAGATATCCAAAAGAGCTAAAGGACTCATAGGATGTATTGGGGAAAACACCCAAAACCTGATTTTAAAACGCGGCAAAGCAGTGAATAGACATTTCCGCAAAGAAGAGATACAGATGGCTAATAGACATATGAAGAGATGCTCAACATCTCCTCATCAGGGATTAGAAAATCAAGACCACAGTGAAGTACTTTCTCATACCTGTCAAGTAGCTATTATCAACAAGACAACAAGTAAGAAATGTTGGCGAGGATGTAGAGAAAAGGAAACCCTCGTGAGGTGTTGGTGGAAATGTATATTGGTGCAGCCGCTATGGAGACAATGAGGGTTTCCTGAAAAACTGAAAACCAGAACTACCATATGATCTAGCAGTTCCACTTCTCGGTATTTTTCTCCAGAATAGAAGAAACACTAGTCACAAAAGATGTATGTGCTCCTCTGTCCACTGCAGTGCTATTTACAGCCAAGAGGATCCAAGATCTGGAAGGAACCTAAGTGCCCATCGATACATGAGTCTAAAAGGAAGAAATGGTGTACACACACACACACACGGACACACACAGTGGAATATTACTCAGCAGTTAAAAACAGAATGAAATCTTGTCATTGTCGACAACATGGATAGACCTAGAGGGGATGATGCCAAGTGAAACTAGGCACACAGAGAAAGACAAATACCACACAGTTTTATTTATATGTGGAACCTCAGAAATAAGTAAGAGAGCACGGGAAACTAGACAGAAATAGAGTCAGAGACACAGAGAACAAACTGGTGGTTACCAGAGGAGGAAGGAGTAGGGAGATGTGTAAAACAGGGAAGGGGTTAGGAGATACAAACTTCCAGTTATAAAATAAGTCATGGGACTGGAATGTACATACAGGGAATAGAGTCAATCATCTTATAGTAAATCTCTGTGGTGGCACATGGGAACCACAACTATCACAGCAATTCATTTCGTAATGTTTAAAAATATGGGATCACTTTGCTGTGCACTTGAAACGAATATACTATCATATGTCAGCCTTGGGCCTCCCCAGTGGCTCGGTGGTGAAGCATCCTCCTGCACTGCTGGAGCTGCAGGAGGCGTGGGTTGGGTTCCTGGGTCGGGAAGATCCCCTGGAGGAGGGCACCCAACCCACTCCAGTATTCTTGCCTGGGGAATCCCATGGACACAGGAGCCTGGTGGGCTACACTCATGTCGTCGCAAAGAGCTGGTCATGGCTGATGTGACTTGGCATGCACGCACGCATGGCAACTTTACTGAAGAAGTAAAGAGTGGGGGCTCTGCATGGAGGATGCTGAGATTTGTGGGTCACGTTTCCTCTGGCGGCCTCTGTGACTCTGAGCAATCCCCCTGACTTCTCTGTCCTCTGCTTTCTCACCTCATCAATTAGGATTGAAATCTTCCAAAATGATGGGTCTTTGAAGGAGGATTAATTAAGGTGACAGAAAGAAATATATTGAATGTGGTCTGATACCTGGTAAAGGATGAACAACCTTGAAATGCCATGTTAGCCCTGCTAAACATGCCCACACTGACTAAATTCACGCCTCTGAGTTTCAAGAAGGAAAGCTCCCTTGGGAGACAAGTCCTGCAAGATGGGTTGAGCTCTGAAGCTCTCTGATGAGATCACAAGTTCAGACTCCAATAAATATACCTGTTCTCAAGCGCCTCTGTCTGCAGAAGACTCGTGGATTTCTGCAGAAATACAGCTCTGGGGGATAGCTGAGAGCACAGACTGACTGACAGACAGCAGAATTCATTTTCACTTCTGAAGAATCTCACAGGCACTTGCTGGCTACACCACATTGGGCTCTGAGTGTGGGGAGGAAAAGAAGATTTCATCACTCGTGTCTCCTGTAACGAAAAGGGAAGCTATTTGTTATTAGGGGAGAGATGTTCGTGAATGACAGATCCGAGAAAGGTCTTACATTCAGAATACGTAAGGAATTTTAAAATTGCAAAGGACAAAATCCTTTGTGGAGGAGGACAGATCCTTGTGCCAGGGATTGGGGTGTGGCAGAGGAAACCAGAAAGGGGCAGCACCCGGGTGTTTCTGGGGTGACGGACGTGGCCTGTGTCCTGGTCGTGGTGGTGATCACTGCAATCTCTCCGTGGATCAGAGCCCAGAGAGCTGCACACCCAAGGACAAGCAGGCCAAGAATTCCCTGGTGGTCCAGTGGTCAAGAATGTGCCTGCAATATGGTAAAGTAATTAGCCTCCAACTAAAATAAATAAACGAACAAATAAAAAAATTTTAAAAACTAAAAAAAAGAATGTGCCTGCCATATAAAATTAACACACAAAAATCCCTTACATTCCTATAAACTCATAGGGAAAAATCAGAAAGAGTACTTAAGGAGACAATCCCATTCACCATTGCAATGAAAAGAATCAAATACTTAGGAATAAATGTATGTAAAGAAACAAGAGACCTGTATACAGAAAACTATAAAGAAAAACTGATGAAAGCAATCAAAGAAGACACAGAGATGGAGAAATGTACCATGTTCTTGGATTGGAAGAATCAGTATAGTGAAAATGACTCTACTACCCAAAGCAATCTGTAGATTCATCACAATCCCGATTAAACTACCAAAGGTATTTTTCACACAACTAGAACAAATAATTTCTCAGTTTGTATGGAAACACTAAAGACTATGAATACCCAAAGCAATCTTGAGAAAGAAGAATGGAACTGGAGGAATCAACCTGTCTGACTCCAGGCTCTACTACAAAGCTATAGTCATCAAGACAGTATGGTACTGGCACAAAGGCAGAAATACACATCAATGGAACAAAATAGAGAACCCAGAGATAAGTACACACACCTATGCACAGGTTATCTTTGACAAAGGACGAACAAATATACAATGGTGTAAACAAAGTCTCTTCAACACGTGATGCTGGGGAAAATGCTCAACTATGTGTAAAAGAATGAAACTGGAGCACTTTCTAACACCATACACAAAAATAAACTCAAAATGGATTAAAGACCTAAATGTGAAACCAAAAACTTTAAAACTCTTCAGAGGAAACCATGAGCAGAACACTCTCTGACATAAATCACAGCAAGATCCTCTATGACCCACCTCCAAGAGTAATGGAAATAAAAACATAAATAAACAAAAGGGACCAAATTTAACTTAAATGCTTTTGCACAACGAAGGAAACTATAAGCAAGGTGAAAAGACAGCCCTCAGAGCAGGAGAAAATAATAGCAAATGAAACAACTGACAAAGAAGGAATCTCCAAAATATACAAGCAGATCATGCAGCTCAATACCAGAAAAACAAACAACCCCATAAAAAGTGGGCAAGAGACCTAAACAGACACTTCTCCAAAGACATACAGATGGCTACCAAGCACATGGAAGAGATGCTCAACATCATTCATTATTAGAAAACTGCAAATCAAAACCACAATGAGGTATCACCTCACACAGATCAGAATGGCCATCATCAAAAAGTCTACAAACAATAAATGAGGGAGATGGTGCAGAGAAAAGGGAACCTTCTTCCACTGTTGGTGGGAATGCAAACTGGTACAGCCACTATGGAGAAGAGAGTGGAGATTCCTTAAAACACTGGGAGCAGAACTGCCACACGACCCAGCAATCCCACTGCTGAGGGAAACCACACTCAGGAAACCAGAAGTGACACAGACACATGTACCCCAATGTTCACAACAGCACTATTTATAATAGCTAGGACATGAAAGGAATCTAGACGTCCATTGGCAGATGAATGGATAAGGAAGTTGTGGCGCATATACACAATGGAATATTACTCAGCTATAAAAAGGAAGGCATTTGACTCAGTGCTAATGAGGTGGATGAACCTGGAGCCTGTTATACAGAGAGAAGTCAGTCAGAAAGAGAAAGACAAATACTCATATTAATGCATATATATGGAATTTAGAAAGACGGTAGCAACGACTCTACATGCAGGGAAGCAACGGAGACAGACACTTACAGAACATACTTTTCGACTCGGTGAAAGAAGGCGAGGGTGGGGTGATTTGGGAGAAGAGCAGTGAAACATATACATTCCCATATGTAAAACAGATGACCAGTGCAAGTTCAATGAATGAAGCAGGGCACCCAAAGCCAGTGCTCTGGGACAACCCAGAGGGATAGGGTGGGGAGGGAGGTGGGATGGGGGTTCAGGAGGGGAGGACACATGTATACCTGCGGCTGATTCATGTTGATATATGGCAAAAACCATCACAATATGGTATAGTAATTATTTTCCGATTAAAATAAATTAATGATTAAACAAATAAAACAGAACCCACCTGCCAATGCAACGGGGCAGGCGTTCAGTCCCTTGTCCAGGAAGGTTCCACATGCAGCAGGGCAACTAAGACTGTGTGTCACAACTACTGAACCCACCTGCTTCGACTACTGAAGCCCTCGAGCCTAGACTCCACTCTCTGCAACAAGAGAAGTCTCCGAAATGAGAAGCGCATGCACCGCCACTAGAGAGGAGTCCTCCTTCTCCACAACTAGAGAAAGCCTCGAGCAGCAACAAAGACTCAGTGCAGACACCAATAAATAAATAATAAGAAAGAAAACCAGGCCAATCTTACTGTGTGTTCATTTGAAAAATCCAATGGTAGATTCCGAAGTAGCTGCATCTCTCTAGATCCTTTGAATGATCATATCTTGGGTGAAGCTAACAAAAATTACATCACAGGCTATATTAAAATTTTAGATCAGCTTCCCAGGCACTGCTCTTTTCTAGAGAGCTACTTTTCTCAGAGAACTGTTATTTAGGAACTTTAGTCACCGGAACTGAGGTCTCCACCACATTCAAGGGCAGAAAGCAAAAGACATTAGGAAGACACGGTTCAAATCCTATGAGTCTATGAGTTGCCTGTGACCACTGGCTAGGATGAACACACATCCCAGAGTCTCTTCACATTTCAGGAACTGAAACCTGTATTTCAACCACTTAGTTCAGTTCTTTAAGGCCACTGCTATCCCCTTAAACAAACACTTGGTGTCAAACACTTGGAAAATGACCTTAACCCAATTCACTCCCAACCTCTTATCACATGTCACAAGGAGTCTCTCATGAAATTTCCTAATCTACAAAGCCAATTGTCAGATAAAGAAAAGAATTCACACACACACATCTTGTGAAGAAATACTAAGATTTTAGAAACTGACTCACAACTAACCCATGGTTTATCATTCTTTTCTCTCGTCTCCCTCCATCCACTCTGAGAAATGAATATTTGGCCATGCTGTCTGATTTGCCCACCAAGTTGCTCATACCACACACAGGATGTTGTTATAAGTGAGCCTATACACACAGCATTGACACCAGCCAGCCCTACTGAAGTTGGCTACCTTGGGGCAGGGAGGTGGCCAGGGCAATAAATTCATCATCTCATTTCCTTCATCACCCTACCCCATTTCATTCCCTGTAGTCAATTGGCACAAAGATTTCCCACCAAATCCCTGCTTAAAGCACCACTGCCTCAAGTTTCCTTCGTTATCTCACCTGGCTTCTGAGGCCAGGGAACAGATTTTACTTGAGATGAGTAAAGCTAGAGAGACAGCCCATTGGCCAGAGATTCATACTCTTTACAAACCCATGGACCAAGGCCCGCCAGGCTCCTCTGTCCAGGGGATTCTCCAGGCAAGAATACTGCACTGGATTGCCATGCCCTCCTCCAGGGAAACTTCCAGACCCAGGGATTGAACCCAGGTGTCCTAATTCCCCTGCATTGCAGACAGATTCTCTACCGCTGAGCCCCCGGGGAAACCCATGACAAACCTAGACTGCATATTAAAAAGCAGAGACATCACTTTGCTGACAAAGGTCTGCAGAGTCAAAACCATGGTTTTTCCAGGAGTCGTGTACAGATGTGTGAGTTGGATCATTAGGAAGGCTGAGTGATGCTTTCGAATTGTGGTGCTAGAGAGATGACCCTTTAGAATCCCTCAGACAGTAAGGAGAACAACCTGGCCAGTCCTAAAGGAAATGAATACTGAATACTCTGAATACTCACTAGAAGCACTGATGCTAAACCTGCAATACTTTGGCCACCTGATGAGAATAGCTGACTCATTGGAAAACACCCTAGTGCTGGAAAAGATTGAAGGCAGGACGGGAAGGGGGAGACAGAGGGTGAGATGGTTAGACAGCATCACCAACACAATGGGCATTACTTTGATCAAACTCAGGGAGATAGTGTAGGACAGAGGAGCCTGGCGTGCTGTAGGCCATGGGCTCGTTAAGAGTCGGACACGACTGAGAGACTGAACTAACCACCACCACCTCCACCTTCCCTTTGAGCTTCCCTAAGTTGCCACCGCCCCACTCTCAGCAGGGCTAAGAAGCTTTCTGTGTCTGTCAGTGGTGAAGGCTGAGACTTATGTCTTCACACACTCAGCGCCCCCTGATAAGGGTTGATGGCGGGTCCTTAACGCTCATCACTCCCTCCCAGAGCTCAGACCAGGAGTCTTCTCACAACAGTCATGGAGCACCTACCCTGCTACAGAAATGGGAGTTGTAGGTATTTGCCCCTCTCAATGTGATTTCCCCCTTTACATTCACTTCCACATTTCTTCCTTGAGTCACCGAATCCAACTCTGCTCATCCCCACCTGGTTCCTCTAAGAAGCTGCACCTGCATCTCTAGCACATCTCTAGCACCACATGCACAGGGTGGGTGCATGTACGCCCTGCGCCATGTATCTTCTTTCTCCTTTCTCTTCGGAATCTGTCGACTCCCAGATATCACAAAAAGGACTCCAGATCCCCCACAAAGGGGGCGGTGTGGCAGGGGAGGCTGTGTCTCTCATCCACAGCCTGGCTCAAAGCAGAACTGTGTTATAAGCGCCACAAACTGCCCTACTGCATCATGGGAGCCAAAAGAGCAAAGGTCTGAAAGTGCTAACACAGACATTTCCGTGGACAGAACACCAGTGTCTTCCTTGGGACCTGTGAGCTACTGTCTGGTTTGGGCCTATGGAGTCAGTGACCTTTTTCACAACCCTTGCAGGCTCAGCTAGCCTTCCATCAGGACCTCTATACTCCCCACAGCCCCCCACCTACTGTACCAAAGACATCACTTCTAACTTCAGTGAGCCGACTGAGTTTTCACTTGGCAGGGATACCAACACAACTTTTTTATGCTGAAACCTCAAGACACCTGAGAACGAGTCTTCAGAAAGTCCATTTTTCAATTATAATAGAAAAACTGCCTATGTAACAATGAAGATACAACAAATTACAATACTAATAAAATGTTATTTGAAAATTATCTAGAATGTCACACTTAAGAGAAAAAAACTTAGTATGTGGTCTATTGCCTTCCAGGTTTGTTCTCTGCATTTAAGAAAATTATGAGATGGGGGAGGTAATGTCTTCATGATATTGTATCTGTTGCTCTGTCTGTGTATCATTATATTATACTATGGCTATGCTACTTTCCATAATGATGAGGGTGCTCCACTAATGTTGGTCAGAGGAAACACTGTTTAGACCTCGGTATCAACCAGGAACTGTTCTCTATGATGTGTGCATGCTGACATGACACCGCATGGTCTTTCACGCACTTAGGAGAAACTGTGTCCAATCCATACACAGATCCATAGTAACATTTCATGCGGATGGACATGTTGATCTGCATTTTGACCCAGAGTACATCAGACACTGCACTGTATTCCAGATTGGGGGTCAGATCCCACACCTGTTTGTTTCTCTCTGGCCTGGGCACCAATCTGACTCAGCTCTTGCCAGCTAGGTGACTTTGTGCAGAGTCATTCACCCATTAACATCTACGTGTCTCTGCTCCTCAGCTGACGAAAGGGATGATAGCATTACAGATGCTTACCTCACAGTGTTGCTATGAGTACTCAAAGACTTCATTATGCGTATATGTACGGAGAGCTCAGCACAGTGCAGAAGGCGAGCTCTTCTTCTTGTGTCTTCACTTCTCTTTCCGCTTGTACTAGCAGCCCCCGTCCCTGCCCCCACACGTTCACCTCCCCCACCCCTACTCTGCTCTCTCTCCCCCGTGCCCCTGTCCTCAGACTCTCCATCCCAAAACACAGCTGAACATCTCACGACTTACCCCAGAAAATACCCATACCATCACCCTTGGATTAAACAATCATGAACATTAGCAGAAAAAGTAAGAAACACAATAACCGGGCAATGTAAAAACTACAGAAGAAAAAAGCATTACTGATGAACGTCTGACTACTAATATTTTCATATCTTCATCAGATACAGATCTTCAGAAATTGATATATGAGAAACAGATTTGATAAAACAATGGCAGAAAAGGTAATGCAATGTGGAAAGACATAACAAAATGGGGGCACATGGTGTGATCAGGGGTTGAGAACTTCAATATAATTAGGATGTCAGTAGGCCCCACACACATCCATCAATTTCATACAATTCCAGTCAGAAATTCCAGCAGGACTTTTTCGTACACAGAGAGTAATTGATGATAAAATTTCTGTGGTAAGGCAGATGGACTAGAATAGCCAAATGATTCTGAAATACAACATTGGAAGAGTAATATTAACCTGAAATTTACTTTGCAGCTTCAACCAGAAGTTGTAAGCAACTATGTGTCTATGAAGGAATGAATAGATATAGAAAACGTGGTGAGAAAAGTCAGAGTGGCCACCATCAAAAAGTCTACAAACAACAAATGCTGGATAGGGTGTGGAGGAAGGGGAACCCTCTTACACAGTGGGTGGGAATGCAAACTGGTATAGCCACTATAGAGAACAGTGTGGGATTCCTTTAAAAACTGGGAATAGACCTGCCATGTGACCCAGCAATCCCACTGCTGAGCATACACCCTGTGGAAACCAGAAGTGAAACAGACACATGGACCCCAATGTTCACCGCAGCACTGTTTACAATAGCCAGGACATGCACGCAACCTAGATGTCCACTGGCACACAAACGGATAAGGACGTTGTTTGGTACATATACAATGCAATATTACTCAACTATAAAAAGGAACGCACTTGAGTTAATTCTAATGAGGTGGATGAACCCAGAGCCTATGACACAGAGTGAAGTAAGTCAGAAAGACAAAGAGAAATACTGTATATTAACGCTTATATATGGAATTTAGAAAAGACGGTACCAATGACCCTACATGCAGGGCAGCAAAGGAGACAGTGTGAAGCTCTATGCATGAAGCAGGGCACTCACAGCCGGTACAAACCGAGACGGATGGAGTGGGGAGGGAGGTGGGAGGGGGGTTCAGGATGGGGGCACACGTGAATTCCTATGACCAATTCATGTTGATATATAACAAAAACATCACAATATTTTAATGGAATTATCCTCCAATTAAAATAAATTAATTTTAAAAGAGAAAATCTGGCAGTATATACAATGGAATATTATTCAGTCAAAGGAAGAATATTCTGCCTTTTGCAACAACATGAATGGACTTCAAAGTCTTTATGCTAAGTAAAAAGTGAAAGAGAGAAAGACATATATTGTATGTTCTCACTTATATGCAGAACCTAAAAAAGTCAAACTTACAGAAATTGCTAAGAGTTTAGAATGGTGGTTTCCAGGGACTGCGCAAAATGTTGAATACAGGGTACAAACTTCCAGGTATGACATGAATAGGTTGCGTGGATACAGTGAATAGCATGGTGAGTATAATTAACAAAACTGTATAATACAGTGAAAGCTACGAGGGTAGATCTGAGACGTTATTTCCTCAACAATTTTTAAAAAGGATTATGTGAGGGGATAGAATGCCAACCCTGCTGTGGTAATCATTTTGCCAAATATGTGTATATCAAATCATCACATTGGCATCTTAAACTTACAGGTTATATGTCAATAATACCTCAAACAAGGTGGAAAAAATAAGAGAGCCCTGAATGTGTCCAGGAGAGCCCTCAAGCTATATTCTGTGTCCCTCTGACATCTTCACATCATTCTTGAACTTTCCCTTGTTGCTGACATGACAAGGTGAACCAGGCTCATTTACCCTTTCCTTCCTCAGCCTGGGAACCCATCATTTAGTGGAGAAAGGGGTTCAGGAGCTAGGATCTGGGGACTGGTGTAATTATTGCCGTTGGAATGTTGCTGTTTCCAGTAACTTGGGAATATATGTGTGTGTGCACAATCACACACACAAACACATAGACACACATCTATAGTTACATATCAGTCTAGCCACATATGCACACCTATCGAATACAAGACGTTTGCATGGAGACCTTTAATCCCAGTAGAATTCCTTAGATTTGTTCTAGTTTACTTCCTTTCCATACTGGAAATTCCCTTTTCCAAAAATGACAGACGTGGCTCTCAGCATTTTTATGTATTTGCTGAGTTGATGAATCCCAGTGCATGTAAGTGATCCCTCCTCCACAAAAGGGTCCTCCTCACAATGTATGCAGAACCATCCCTTGCCCTTGACTTCCACACCTCACTCAAGCTTGAATCCATGAAGCAGTTAGCCTCCTTCCGACCCAATCCACAGGGATAGCCTTCTTTCCACCTTAGGCTCTGGCTCTCCAGGCAGGGATGCCCCCTTACACATACACATGCCTTACCTGGCGACACCTAACGGCTTTAGGACTGACTTGCTCAGGCACAAAAAAGAGAAGGGAAAGAAAGGGTAGGGACAGAAAAAGGTGAGTATGTCCTAATATACTCAGCCAATCACCGTGAACTGGGCCAAACCCAAGCAATGTGATGAAGCCAGTCGTTTTTTTTTTCCCCCTCATTGTCCTCCAACTTCCCTTCCTGCCTCTGTCCTTTGCCCCAGTTCCTGTTTCCTTCTTAAGTCCTGCCCTCCATCAAGAGTACCAGTGTTACGAGACATGATTCCCACATTATAACTGATCTCTGCTGCTTGGCTGACATTCAGCATGACATCCCTGCAGCTGGGACACTCAAACTCTCTCTGTCCCTCTCATGATGGACCAGAAGGTTTCACTCCTAATTTCAGGGATAGGTAGGAGAGAAGGTGCAGGGAACACCTTGGAGCCTTCAGTCCTTCATCTGTGAAATGCAGATGATCACAAATTGTGGGAGAAACAGAGACAGCAGCAACCAGACCCCTCTCGATGAGGGCTACGTGCCAAACCCAGCGCATCGCAGGACTCCTTGACATTCAGGAGCGCGCCAAGCAGATTTCCAGGCCAGGACAGTTGCATCTGTTGTTCCTTCTGCCTGCACTGCTCTTCCCGTAGGTAACCCCACGGCCTGCTCCCTCACTTCCTCCAGATCTCTGCTTACTTGCCATCTTTCAGGGAGACTTTCCCTCCTTACCTTGAATAAAATAATAACATCATACCTACATACACCCTTTCCCCTGATCTAGCATTATCTTTCTTCATAGTACCCGCCACCCTTGATTTAGTTACTGACCACCAAGTCTATCAAAGGAGAGACTTGGTCAGTTCTGTCCTGTCACAAACTCCTCCAACAGTGCTCAGGTCTATGGCAGGTGCTCAGAAAACATTTGCTGAAGGATGGTCGGGAGCCAGGCAACACACATCGCTAACATGCACAGGTACCCAGCAAGACACACACTGGCCCCACTGTAATAATTTATGAACAACCTGAGATTCCAGGAGACAACTGATACACTCAACAACACACAGTCAGCATGTCAGGTTCCAGGCCTCAGAATCATATCTGCCAGCTTCCAAACCCTCAGTTCCCGGACAGAGACCTCACAGCCAAGAACATAAGAGGTTTTATTTCTCACACAGAGACTCCAGACAGCCCAGATAGATACCCAGAGACACCAAAAAGAGCTCACTGAATCTCTGCACAGAGAGCACAGAACTCGTCTCAGACCCTCAAACACATCCGAGACGCTAACCATACACGCTGTGACAAAGACCCTCCAAACAGACCAAAGTCTTCAAGAAAGAAACAAATGAGAACTGCACAGATACTTCACACCATGGAGAATGAGTCCGAAATCCCTCGGACACTTGCCAACTTAATACAAAAACCCTAAACGGAAAGACAGAACCTTTAATAACTCAAGAACATCATA